AATTGTGCAATAGCATTATGTCAAAGAAAACTATGTACATACCTTAATTTAAAAATACTTTATTGCTAAAAAATGCTAATCATCTGAGTCTTCGGGGAGTCATAATCTTGTTGCTGATGGAGGGCCTTGCCTCAGCGTTGATGACTCCTGACTGATCAGGATGGTGGTTGATGAAGGTCGGGGTGGCTGTGGCAATTTCTTAAAATGATACAATAATGAAGTTTGCCCCATTGATTGACTCCTCCTTTCATGAACCTTTTATCTGTAGCACGTGATGCTGTTTGACAGCATTTTACTCGCAATAGAATTTTTTTCAAAATTGGAGCCTGTCATCTCAAACCCTGCCACTGCTTTTTCAACTAAATTTGTGTAGTATTCTAAATTTTGTGTTGTCATTTCAACAACCTTCACAGCATCTTCACCAAGAGATCATATCTCAAGAAATTTTTGCTCATTCGTAGAAAGCAACTCCTCATCCGTTAAAGTTTGATCATGAGATTGCACCAGTTCAGTCACATCTTCAGGCTCCACTTCTAATTCTAGTTCTCTTGCTGTTTCCACCACATCTGCAGTTACTTACCCCACTGAAGTGCTGAACCCCTTAAAGTCGCCCATGAGCGTTGGAGTCAACTTATTCCAAACTCCTGTTAATATTGATATTTTGACCTTTCCCCATGAATCATAAATGTTTGTATTGGCATCTAGAATGGTGAATCTTTTCCAGAAGGTTTTCCATTTACTTTGCCCAAACCCATCAGAGGAATCACTATCTGTGGCAGCTATAGCCTTACAAAATGTATTTCTTAAATAAGAATACTTGAAAGTCAAAATTACTCTTTGATCGATGGAAATTGTGTTAACAGGCATAAAAACAACATTAATCTTCTTGTATGTCTCCATCAGAGCTCTGGGGTAACCAAATGCATTGTCAATAAGCAGTAATATTTTGAAAGGAATCTTTTTCTGAGTACTAGGTTTCATCAATAGGTTTAAGATATTCAGCTAATCATGTTGTAAACAGATGTGCCATCATCCAGGCTTTGTTGTGCCATTTATAGAGCACAGGAAGAGTAGATTTAGCATAATTCTTAAAGGTCCTAGGATTTTTCAGAATGGTAAATGAGCATTGGCTTCAACTTATAGTCAGCAGCTGCATTAGCCCCTAACAAGTGAGTCAGCCTGTCCTTTGAAGCTTTGAGGCCAGGTACTGACTTCTCTCTAGCTATGAAAGTCCTAGATGGCAACCCAAAGGCAGATGGATGTGGACTATACACAAGCAGAATAGTAATGGACAAGAGTAGGGCTGAGATGGAGCCTGGGGTCTCACACTGCAGCTGCCCATGGAGTCCTTTCCACTCTCCTCTCGGCAGACTCCGAGTCTCACCCCCCACAAGGCAGCTGTGAAGTCTTCCTAGGCTTCCAGGCCTTGCCTTGCCTCTTTGCCTTCAAACTGTGAGCATCATGAGCCCCTTCATCTTGGCCTCCCTAAGCAGACATTTAGGATGCTGGCTGCCAGGACTATGGCCATTACACTAATGCTCATCCACCTGAGGTCACCACCATCAGAGAACTCCAATTCCAGAATATTTCTCCATTACAACAGGAGGAAAACTGATACCATGCTCCTGACGATAAGCCCATAGCACTGTGAGACCCCAGTGCCTTTTAAATCACCAGAAGTTTTAATCACTTCCAGTGCAACTTCCCCATAATGTGTACTTTACTAAATTTTAAATCTTTGAAAATTAATGATTCATGTAAAATATGATATCATGGTGGCCCCAGATTCTTAGCAAGACCTTCCAGGTTCTGCAAGATGATCCCAACCTACTTTCCTGGGATTGTCTCTTCTGTGAATCCCATGTCGTTTCCTCTCCCACTGCCCAGACCCCTCCACAGCTCAGGGAAGACCGTCCAGGACCTACTGCTGTACCAGGATCATGGGCACTGGAGAACCTTTAGCTGGCCTTCCCAGCCAGCTGCTGATTTAGAATGTCAGCCCTAAAAGAAAGCAGACCCTGACAGAGCAAAGGCCGTGGCCCTTCGCCTTCACTGCAGCTTTTTGAGCAACCTTCCTCCTCTCTTCCTCTCCCCCCGACCCCATATCACTATTGGTCACTGGTTGTTGGCAGTCTTCTCACCTCCTCCTCTATGGGGGGCAATTTAGGGATCCCAGGGGCAGGCTCCAATGTGGTCTCTATGCAGCTTCTCTCTTCCCCAACTCTATCCCAGAGAGCCCCGTTCCCTCTCTTCCCGGTTGTTCATTTATTATGCAGTGGAAGCATACCCAGTAGTTAAAATGAGCACAGACCAGGGGCAGGGGAGAGGCATGGAGTGAGTCCCTGGGCTCCTGGAGGAAGCAGAGTGCCCCCTGGTTAATGTCTCTCTCTCATCAGGACTCCTCTTTCCAAGTCTCTCACAAACCCATGTCCAGGCCCCACTCAGTTCTGCAGTGTGCAGGGCAGATGTGAACATGGAACTGAGCTGTGCCCATTCACTTCGGATGGAAAAGGGTGGGGTGCCTTTGTGTGCCTCACCATTCAGACATCTCCGTGGTGCTATTTTTATCAACAGTAATCATTAAATTGGTGTCAGATGGGCTCGTCCAGTTCCCTGCCCCGAGGCAGGGTTTTTCCAGGCAGGAGATGTGGTCTGTGGCCCATATGAATGCATCTCGGGTACCCTAGGCCTCGGAGGGAACCCCTGTAGCCCTGGACCATGTTCCCACGGTGATAAGAGCAAGGTTCATCATCACTCGCATTTCATTCTGGGCCTGACTGACTTAACAGACATATGTTGAGCACATTCTAAATGCCAGTCACTGAACAAGACACCAAGGATTCACCAAAAAATATCCTCTCCTCCCCCAAGGACACTGGAATTTCATCAGAAAGGATTGTCATGCAAAGTGACAGTGCCTGTGGGCTGGGCATGTTCCAGAAGCATCTACAGGTCCAGAGTGGATGGGGGATTTACTCTGTCTGGGCCTTGGGGAAGCTTCATGGAGGCACTAATGCTCAGCCAGGGCTGCAAAGATAAGCAGAGTTAAATGGATAAAAACATGGAAAAGGGGATGAAGGGCAGAGGCATAACAAACGATTGTCGATTCATCCAAAATCCAGCTGTGATTCAGCTCTCTCCTAGAGAGTCCCAGGCACACACCTGCTTCGACCCTCACCCTGGGAGTGAGGGAGGGATGTCACCTGCTCACTCCAAGGGCTCTGGCCCTTCTGACTCTGAGTTTCAGAATTTGGCCCCTGAGCAGGACCCGGCAGGGAGGATTAGTCTGCAGTGGCAGTAATGACTCAGGATGTTGGAGTTAGTCATGAGCTAGGACCTTCCTGCACCACCGTCTGCTCCTGGGTCCTGCAACTGAGAGCCTGAGTCCTGAGTCAGAACGAGGTCCCTCATTAGCCGCAGGAAACAGGGTGGGCTGTGATGTGGAGACAAAGAGCAGAATTTTCTAGATTCTAAGTCTTTCAGTCTGAATTACGCTTCTTTTAACTAAATGCCTGGAAATTCAGGGTGAAATTTAACAGAAAACCAAAATGGGGAGTAACAGGAAAACAGGGAGAAATATGGCACCGAACGATGGCAGAAAGTGCATTTGCAGATGTTCTTGGCAATCGAGGGCTTGGCACTCTGGTTTTCATTTCCTTTGACCAGACATTCCAAACCGCGCC